GACAAGCCGGGCGTTGGTGGCACACACCTTTAATCCCAGCACTCGGGAGGCAGAGCCAGGCGGATCTCTGTGAGTTCGAGGCCAGCCTGGGCTACCAAGTGAGCTCCAGGAAAGGCGCAAAGCTACACAGAGAAACCCTGTCTCAAAAAACAAAAAAAAAAAAAAAAAAAGAAGAAGAAAAGACAGTATGATTAACATTTAGTTCTTATGGACACTTGTATATTTTATAGAAAAAATCAAATTCTACATAATGAGTGGTTCATTGTATTTGAATTAATTACCTTCTGAATTTCTAATGGGGAGCTTATTTTTTTTTATTATAGAATCACAAGGCTGTCATTTAATCTTTGTACAGTGCCTTGACTGTTGGGCACAGTTATATATAAGAGAACAGTGTAAAAACTTAATGCCTTGTGTAATGGTCCCTTTAGGGTATATTTATTTATTATTTTTTCCTGAACCATTTCAGAGACTTTTGGGACAAAACATAAGCCATCAGAGATGTTTTTGTGAGCCAGAGATCAGGCTGATATTGGGAGAGCCCAAGGAACCGCACACAAGATATTCTAAAGTGTTACTCCTCTACTCAACTATAAGCCTGTTCTCTTTCCAGACATACCACTAATTTAATTTAATTAAGACTCCAGAGGACTATTCCAGAAGGATAATTATATGAAACTTTTATAGATCTGTCCTTTTCTGTCCCTCCATTGTTGTTTTAAAAGAAAAATGAAATCATTTATCTCATCATAAATATGGGGAAATGATGGGTGTGTGTTCTGTCCCTTGATTTCTGTTGCCCTTTCTGGATATTTGGAGAGTGTGGTGGATGAGGCTTGTCTGGTAGAGCATGGTCTCGAGTCCCTGCCAGGTGTGGCTACTGTGGAGGTGGGGGTCCCAGGCAGAATGTGTTTCTAGGCTGTAGTGGCTGACATAAAGAAATGAGGATGTGCTAGAAGAGGGCAGGTCCTGAGAGGGTCCACAGACAGGAGGAAAGACAGAATATCTGTGGATATTCAGATAGTGAAGTGAGAGGGAAAGCAGGCCTCTGTGGGTAGTCTGCTCCAGAGCTGGAGAAGCGACTAGGGAATTTGCAATAAAATATGGGAAGAAGAATGATTTTGATCTACCTGATTCTAAGGCCAGCATGGCCATCAGGTTTCCAGGTAGAAATGGGCCTTTGAAAGTATGCAAGCTAGCCAAGTTCATGGCAATAACAAAGGATAATTGGTAAATTGTCTGTCTGGACCACTATCTGAACTCTTATCCACCCTATTAATTAGTATATTCTTTCTTTTTTCCTGGATTGAATGTTTGCTTTATTTCCTGTTTAAATGAAATCAGGTCTTGAATGCCAATAAATTAAGCACTTATTTGGTAATAAACTAAATAAGGAGGAATAGCCATAGATGGCGTAAGAGTCCTTTGCCAATCTGAGAGAGGGTATTGATCCTGATAGAGGCTGGAAAAAGATGAGAGAAGGAGAAAGGAGAGAGGAACAAGATGAAAAGAGGGAGAAGATATTTGAGAGGGCAGGCTTACTGCAAGTGTCTGTCTACTCTAACTCTCCATGGCAGAGCAATTATAAACAAGCATAGTAAGTACTAATCTTGATGATTGCAAGGCCAAAATGAACATAGCTAAGGAATGAACAAGTGGAAACAGTTACTACCTGTAGCAGGTAAGGAGAGCACGGGAATTATTTATGGAATTGTGTCCCTCTTGAGCAAACAAAGTCTGTAGGTTTAATTTGGGCATATACTAAATTATGTATGTTCCTACAGGAAAGCAGTTTAGGTGTGGCATGTTCCTGAGCATGCTCAATAAAGGATTGCACTCCAAAGCATAATTTTACTCAATGTAAAGTCATAGTTTACAAATGAAGGGTAGCAGGCAAGTTTATAGACACACTCATCTCAGGCCATATTTTCAAAAGATTAAAATGGACTGCAAGACTTTGGGGGAATGTTCAATTTGAACCACAAACACAGCCAATAAAGAAACCTCTGAATACCTTCAACCTTCTCAAATATCGTTGGCTGAAAATAGATGAAAGCAATTGCTGTGGGTTTCTGTATGTTGTGAATATGTATTGTTCTGATTGGTTGATAAATAAAGCTGCATTAGCCTATGGCAGGGCAGGGTGGAGCTAGGTGGGAAAATCCAAGAGAGATAGAGAGAGAAGAAAGGAGAGTGGGGCAGAAGCTGCTAGCTACCACCAGGAGAAGCAAGATCTAAAAGTACCAGTAAGCCACATGGCAGAGTATAGATTTATAGAAATGGATTAATTTAAGATGTAAAACCTAGCAAGCAAGAAACCTGAGCCATTAGGCCATGCAGTTTGTAAAAATAATATAAGCCTCTGTGTGTTTACTTGGGACTAAGTAGCTTTGGGACACAAGTGGGAGAGATTTGTCCTGATCACAGGCCTGGTAGGACACAGGAAAACTTCTAATTACAAGGAATGCTTGAAGGTATGCTCATGTAGGAGTTCACATTGCTTAGCAGCTAACAAAATGATCATGAAAAAACTGAAAGGAAAAATTTCAAACCAATTATTACTTCTATGGATCAGGTAAAGAAAACAAGGCTCTTGGTTAAGTATTACACAGTTTCAAATGGTTATTTATTCATTATGATTGATAAAGAAATTCAAAATATCATTTTCATTATGGATGTACCTTAAAAGACATGTATTCAGGTATGAGTGGGGCCTCTAAAGCTTTTGACAATTCATGGCTGCTAAGGGAGGGCGAGTCTTTTCTTTGCAAAGTGGCTACTATTATGTTACTCAGGCCTCAATGCATGACTCAACACCCATGCATATATGCACACCACTAATTCCATTTAGTGGGTTATTTAAAAAAAAGAAATGAAGTTGAGAAGGAGATATGTTGGAGTATAGCCAGAGAGGCATTTGGCAGGGGTAGTCTGGAGAGGATGGAATTAAAACCATTGTATATCTATATGAAATTTTTAAAGATTAAATAAAATGTTATTTTTTAAATATAAATGATAATAGGGGAAGATATGGATGATTTTAAAATGTCTTTATGTTATATATTCCCCTTCATTCACTGAATGAGCTATAAAAAAACAAATCTCAGTGGAAGACTGGATTAAGTCAGAAAGGAAGAAATAATGTTCTGTTCAAGCAGCTGCTGATGCCAGCTAGCTATCTTGCCAGGAATCCATCAACTAGACACTGTTGAGAATTAATGAAGAATTTTTCTTTACTCTCAATGGAGGAGATTAGGTTAAGCAGTAGAGAGGGAGGCCAATAATCATCATTTTAAAATAACCAGTATTGTTAAGTATTTCTGCTTTAAGACTAAATAAATGGAAGGAAGAATGATCTAGAATGAAGCTCATCTCCTGAAACTCAAGGAAAACAAAACAAAACAGAACCCTGCAGAAGTCAAGAAAGGATTTAAGACTGCTCTGCAAAACATCCAGTTGATTGTGTGCATGTTTATTTTCTGATGCTCTTAAACAAATGTGTTCAGGTGTAGGTGTTTGAAGAACATTATAGAGACCATGAGAAGAGTTCAAAGATGCTCTATGTACACCTGTCTCGGGAGTGTTTGCATATCCAGAACCAATACACCATGAAACAATTATGATCAGACATGTGTTAAAAGAAGAAATGCAAATGGCTGATAAGGATGTGGGGGAAAAAAAGAAGTGCTGTGTCCTTGGCCGCCTTAGAAATTCAAATCAAAACTTCACTGAGACAAGCCAGGATGTCTGTTATCAAGAAAACAAAAACAGACCATACTAAGGAAGGTGTGGGGAAAGGAATCCCAACACATTTTGATATGACTGCAACTTGGCCCCCACACTGTAGAAGTGAGTATGTTAGGGTCCTCACAAAGAGGACAGTGGAAGTACCATGGGGTCCAGCTGAACACCACCTGAGTATCTGCAGGGAGTAAGCAAGAGCAATTAAAGATACCTGAATACCAACCTCATGAACTGATCCTTGGCATCATTTGGCAGAACATGTTAGTTGTCACATTGGCCCATATTTTTTTAATGAAGCAATTTTTCTCTCTACCTTGTTTCACCTTCCATCATAGAGTGATGCAGAATGCAGCTCCCCACTAGGTGCCAGCACTATGTACTGTGACCTCTCCAGAGCTGAAGACATTTCTGCTCCTTATAAATCATCCAGTCTACGATATTCTCTCATATCAAGAAATGGACTAATACAGGACAGAGTAGTTGCTTATAGAATAAGGCATCTTAATTGCTGAACAAGTGGGACCTGACTGTACATTTACTGGTTTCTTACCCCAGATTTATCTTCATATTACCCACAGGGTTTGGGTAGCAAGATTACTAAGAGAATTTGCCAGATTACATTGATACAAAATGCCAGTATATAATTAGTAATTACTAGCTGTTTTTTAATTTTTTTCTGGAAAATAAGCATCATTTTGTAACACACATACTATGGAGAAAATGCACAAAAGACTTTCCACACAAGCTAGATTATTTTTTAATGAGGATTTTTTTAATTCATTTTACATATCAATCACATATCCCCCTCTCCCCCTTCTTCCTGCGCCTCCCGCCTTAGATTTTGAAACTCTAAACAGTTGGATGAATGGGGTAAAGCTTCTTTTACATATTTTCAACAGCATATAAAATTATGCATGTTAGGTCAGTTTCTATGTCTTTTGCCTGTATTGGGTAATATGCAGTAGTCAGGATCCTCCTGAGATCTCAAGGTGTTCTATACTCTATTGTTGGACAAGCCTGGCCTTTGCCCTGGCACTTGCCCTTGACCAACCAGCTGACTGGGAAACAAAAGAAATCCTAGTTCCAGAGATAAAAATGATTTTGAAACAGTGTCCTATTGAGAAGCACATTATCATTCATCTATTCATTCCAAAACAAAGTGCTTTCTATTCCCTCCCTAACCAAGGAAACAAAGCACAATAAAGTATGGTTCTCTGCTGTTGGTTTGTTGTTTTAATGGGCCGAGAAGCGCTCTGTTAGGCTACTCTAGCAAAAGAGTAAACATCGAAATTTATCATGAGCTTTCACAGGCTCCAGAGAACAGGGTGTGAAAGGGGATCACAAGAGGAAAATGCAGAAACCCACTGCTGGGGGAAGGTAAGCAAGCAGGCTAAATGCATTCCCTTTTACCTACATCTGCTGCAGATGGTGCCTTACCCAGGGATGCTTTTGGATTACTTTACACTGTTTATTGTTATTATTCTGTTGTCCTGCCCTATTTTATGGTAAGCATCTGAATTACATTGAGCTCAATTTTCACAAACAATACACATAAAAATAATTAAATCCTGGCTGAAAATCTCTCTCTATCCCCCTCCCATTCTCTCCTCTCTCTCTCTCTCTCTCTCTCTCTCTCTCTCTCTCTCTCCTTCCCCCTCTCCTTTCTCATTCCTGTCTCCTTCCTCTCTCTCTCTTTTCTCTCTTCTCTTTCCTCCCCTCTCCCTTCTTTCTCATCTCTTTTCTCACCTCTCTCTTTATCTCCCTCCTTTCTCTATACATCTATCTCCTCTCTCTTATTTCTCTACCCTCTCTCTCTATCTCTCCTAATTCTGTGTCTCTCTTCTCTCTCTTCTCTTCACCTCCTCTCAATATATATGACGACAGAGACAATGAGTTTCTTCAAAAGAAAACACAAGGCTCATATCATGTGAGTCCAAGAAGTTCCAGATATTGACAAGAGCACCATAGTTTAGTGTCTAATCAGCTTGTAATTGAACTGACTTCTTCCAATTGCTACTTTATTGAATACTGGGGGGAAAGACATTAAAAATAATATAGGAGTATTATTGTATCCTTAAAGGTCTCTTAGAAGTAGCAGCCTAAGCACCACCCAGAAAAAAAAAATTATTGGGAACAAAATATCAGGAAACTGAGAAACTCTGCACTCTAAAGGGATTGTGGTACTGTATGCTTGTAATTATAGTACTCAAGAGGCTGAGGCAGGAGGATTTGAGACTAGTTTGAGATTCATTTGGACTACATAGGGAGTTCAGAGCCAGTCTAGGCTACAAGAAAGATTCTGTATCAAAAAATGGAAAGAATTCATTAATTCTAGTACTAGTGTTCTTACAATTTACCTATTTTTTCTCTTCTACCATGGGAGTAGGTACTATTTTAATTATTCCTTCATGAATTATAAACATGGAAGAGCCAAAAATAATGGGAGATTTGTATACCAACCTAATTATGCAAGTATGTGACAGGGTAGAAAAAGACAGCATCAGAACAAGAGATAGTATTCAATCCAATCCAACCAGTTAGTTGATAGATGACCTTCCTGGTGCTGTCCTATAAAAGAAAATGTTTGGAGACTTGCTGAAAGGCTTGTTGTTTATCTGAACTTCATAGCATAACCCTTATTATACATAATAGTCATTCAGAGAATTTTAGTCTCTTTCCTCTTCTTCTATGATCATCTAAGGGAATAACAACAAAACAATTTTATGAATAAAAGATGTGTTTGTACACTCTTCAATTGGTAGAGACCTCAGAAATCCCTTGCACATTTCCTCTGGCCCCAGAGGCAAGGTGACAAAGAATTCAAAGACTCAGAACACTGAGTTAGCAACTATATTAAAGAAATGAAAGGTACATTGTGTCACTGTAGTTAATCAGGAAGGAATGTGCAAAGCATCTATCTGCAGAGAGTCTTCCAGCTCTTACACAGACACTGGCATGGGGGAAGCTTACTCAGCCTTGATGTTATTTCAAGTTTGTGAATGCTTCTGCAAGTAGATAAGATTTTTAATTAGGAAATTAAGTAGTTACAATAGAGGTAAGAAATTATAGTGTCCACTGAACTGTCACATCCACAATTTTAATTTTCTTTATGTATTCTCTTTTTGTAGATTATTACAAAAGTTAATTTCAACAGATGCCTTTAGCATGCCAAGCGTTTCAAAATGTAGAATTATCAACCTTCAGGTAAATGAGGTTTCCTAGTATTATGTTAAATATCAAGCTTCTTTTGGTGCCTGAACAGAAATAAAATCATCACTTGCAAATTCAAAGTTCTACTTTTTTGTCAGAACTCATCACTTTATACCCTTAGAGAAGTGTTGCTCAACTCTACTTTAATTTTGAGGGACTCAGAAAAAAACGTGTTCCTTTAAAAATAAGAGATAATATGTAGTGGGTAGCCATTCCAGCTTGGATCTGGAAGTTCCAACCCCCATTGAGACTCTGGCAACTGTCACGCCTATGAGGCGCCTATGAGGCGGGGCCAGGGGAGGCGCCTGGAGACCCGAGAGCTGGATGGGCGAGTGCTCGCTTGGTGCCGGGACGCTGAACGGTGAAGATGGACCAAACAGAGCTCCAGAGAACACCGCTGGATTGCGATACACCTTCCCCAGACCCTGCAACCTACCTATCCCTTAATTTTTGAGTTACACCACTAAATAAATATCCCTTTAACTACGTGGAGTGGCCATTATAATTTCACCAATAATAATAGGAAACATGCATGACCAGTTGGAAGATTAACTGTTGCTTAGATACTAACTACCAATTTTATCTTCCTCTTACAGGTACATTTTTATGTTTCTCAGAGGATTAAGTTATGTTTCCATGTCAATTATAAAGGAAATAAAAGTTTGGTACATCTCTCATACAAATTATTAAGCTTTAATTAATGAAATAAAATTCTCATTTATAACAATATTTTCCTCACATATTGGCTTCAGAAGCCATTAATAAGAGGTGGAGAGATGTCCTATTAATTCAGTAGGTAAAGTGATTGCCACACAAACATGAGGACATGAGTTCATATTCCCAATAATATCAAAATACTGAGACCACAAGGGGGTATTTGTAATCCCAGTATTGGGGACAGGAAAACAAGAGAATCCCTGGTTGTTTGCTGGCCAGCCAGTCAAGACTAATCAGTGAGCTCCAGGTCCAGTGAGAAACTGTCTTGGAAACTAATGTGGTGACTGATTAGGGAACATCCCAGACATCAACCTCTGACCTCCACATACCTGTGTGCTCACACATGAACGCGTGCGCGTGTGCACACACACTACTTACAAGGAAAATGATTAATAAATGTTTGCCACAAAAAAGGTCTCAGTATCCCAGTAGGGTTGAAAAACCATTGATGAATCAAAGAAGCACAGGAACATCCTCTGTAGAACTTTTAACAGTCTTGAAGTTTCTGCTACACTATATTTGGAAATAGAGGAAGGAGGTGGAACTTCTCAAAAATCTCTGGTTGTAGAATCAGGTTTTTTCCTAGAGTTGGTGACCTTACAACACACTAGAAGAAGATGTTCTAGGCTTCTGAATTAAGAATCATCAACACATGCAAAACTAAATATGCCCTGGGTTCTTTCTAGATAAGTAGAATACTATCTGTGACTATATGGGAAATGATAAATTTAAATTAAAATCAAAATTGTAACATTGGAAGTAAAATTTATTATGAAGATATGGTTAAGGGGAGGGAGTGAGGGATAGGTTTAATCAAGGTAAATTAGATGCATGTCTAAAATTCCCAATAAATAAATAATAAATAAATAAATAATAAATAAATAAATAAATAAATAAATAAATAAATAAATAAATAAATAAATAAATAAATAATTTAAAAAGATGATAGAGGTCACTTGTGCTAAGGCTTTCTCTAAGAAAGAAACTTGTGTCTCATTAGAACACAGCTGTTGAAGGGGCAAATGGGTAAATCTGGGTAATTTGGCATGGGTGAGGGAAATTTGTTGTCCTCTCTCACTCCTCATCCCCCTGCACCTATCAACTTTTGGGGCGGGTGAGAGAGCTGGCCCTGTGGTCTTAAGAGTGAGAGAGCCAACCACGTTAGTTCAAGTGTGGGTGAGCCAGCCCCAAAGTTGCAAGCATGGGTCAGCTGTCTCCATTTCACATCTGGCAGACCAAACCTACCAAGCCTAGAACCAAGGTTTTGACTTGGCCCACCCCATCATCTACCACATCTGTGATCTGCTGGAGCACTTGAAGGGAGCTGTGGCAAGATCCACAACACAGGGCAACAACAGGATATTCAGGAGGAGGCCTAGCAAGGGCCCAGCACTGATAGTGTAGTAGAAACTAGAAGCCTCAAACCATTCCAAAGACTCTTCACAATGAATGCTTGCAAGTAAAGACATATGGACAAAGCGGTTTACTGTGTGATTCACTGTATCACAATTTTTAAGTTTTTACCTTTATTTATTTATTTATTTATTTATTTTCTTTTTTTCTCTTAAATTTGTTTTATTTGGGGAGTGTGCAGGGGTGGAAAGTGGATGCGAAGGGACAGGAAAATGAATAGGCTCAAAATACGTGATGTAAAAAGCACATAGAATAAATAAATTAATTAATCAATTAACCAATTAATTAATTAATTAATTAATTAATAAAAATCTAGGTAATTATTCACATTAAAGTTTTATTTAAAAATATGTGAATAAGTGCGCATAATCATTTAGAAATCTCCAACATCTATACATGTAAAACCTTGCAACAAAGAGGGATGGAGAACTAGTTCAGTGGTTAAGAATAATTGCTACCCATAGAAGACCTGAGTTCAGTCTCCAGCACCCACAACCTGTGACTTATCTCCCTGGAACCCCAGCTTCAGGGGATTTGACACCTTCTCATCTTCTGGGAGCACCTGAACACACATGGTTTACACATGCACTCAGACACATAAAATAAATTTTGATTTATTTCTTTTATTTTTGAGACAAGGCCAGACTTTGTAGACCAGACTGTTTTGGAACTTGCCACATTGACCATTCTATCCAAAAATAAGTCTTTAAAAAAACCTATTAATTAAGAAATAGAAGGAATCAATGATTAATGAACTGTATATAAACAGATGCATTTTTAGTACAATGCATATATTAATACCAATGATAGGCTATGGGTACAGACAGCTGCATGACACTGTCTTACACATTATTTAGACAAATGGAAAGCTATATTAGGAAATCATGTATAGTTTCTTTAGTAAAATATATCACTATGAAACTCACTTCTAGAGAAAACTATTAGTAGATATGTCTGGACCCCATCCTCTTCATTAATACTCATATATGTGTATGTGTGTCTTACATAGAGTTAGTTATTTAAGTATGAATAAAATA